TATCAATGTCTTTGATATCTAGGATTTCACAAGGGGTGGTATTCGTATGCGTGTATTTATATATCTACATATATACATATGCACATATGCGGTCCAGGGTTAACAGATTGCTACCATGTAGCGTATATATATAACACAGATCTCTCAGTTGTATACATATATATATAGGATACTACGCTCATTATATGTATGAATGTAGTCACTCGTGTAAACGTATGTTTTAGTATATAAGTGGTATTAGACTCATTGTACGTATGAACCCAATCACTCGTGTACACGCATTGCCATAGATTTCCATCAGGAGGATCGACCGAAAGGCAAACCACAGAGGCGGCAGAGTTCCGGTGGTGGTTTCGAGGATGCGGTTTACGAGAGTAAAGCAACGGCCAGGTAGGTATATACACCTAATTTGTCGTAAAATACTGACCCGGGTGTGTATGAGTTAATCTGATCGTGTGTTTTGTCGTAAAACACTGGATAGGTATATATATGGTGGTTTGTACATAATTGTTAGGTATATGTGCATATGTTTTATTTTATGCAGTCTTTGTATGGCAAATATGTATTTGGGCTTGCTTAGTGTTGTATCAGCCCACACAGGACTACAATACTGCTAGTGTCATATCACCCGGTGCCTTTAACAACCCTATAGCCTAAATCCCTAAACCCTAAACCCTAAACCCTAAACCCTTGAATCTCCCTCGCTGTTTGTGCGGAACAGATCGCATGTGTTCGTTGCTGAACTTGCTAACCCAGCGTCAGTAAACTACTTCGGTACCATCCTATTGGGTGTGCACGTATAGCTTAGCAGCACATTCATATTCCTGTGTTCAATGGTCATACCCTGATCCGCATGAGTGTCACTTCCGTATCATTTGTAGTATGGACAGTACAAACCCGACAAAGTTGATTAAAGTCGCCAAGTCTTCGTCTGAGGATAGGTCCGGGTTGCCGAAGCTTGTGCCCGCCTCTGTGGCAGCCGTACAATCAACAGGCTATTTGGTACCTACCGTCACGGGTTCAGAAGCCGAGACACAGGTATGGTACACACACGCACACAGGCACATACACATACACACCCACACCCACATTCACGCACACACACGCACACACACACGTACACACACACGTACACACTCACACACACACACAT